AAGCCGCGAAAGCACCCAAGTAGACCCTTATAACGCCGTTCAGTTTTAGGAAATAAAAAGTGAGGGTGCCATACTCACCGGTGAGTCGACAATAAGAGTCGGAGAAAGCGTCCCGAGTATCCGGGCTATAAGTTGCCCGTTGGGTTCATAATCCATCAGAATTGGGTACTGCTAGGCCGTACAAAACAAATTGAGCGGGGTGGAAAAAAAGCCGGAGAGATAACCAGAGCCGCAAAGTCCGTTTTTATAATTTTTTTGAACTGAATTATTCGTCCAAGTTTGAGAGACAATGACATTGAGTGAGGGAAGTATAATTCCTGACCAAGTTAACCGCGTTGCTCTCTATTTATTTAACCTCCTATCCCAGATCAATGTGAAACCTATATAATGCACTTGTGGAGTTGCAGCTTTAATTGGAGCTGACAGATTGCTTTAGTTAAATTAAAATGCTGGTATTCAAACCTTCCCGCCACATTCGGTGGGATCAAGCCATGTGGAGCTCTAACATAGAGTTTCTAGTATTGCGCCCTGCTGTCTGAAGAAAACGCGGAATTTATGAGTGGAACTGACCAGCCGGTCAAGCTAACGTGCGTATAAAGACAATAGTAAAATAAGTTATTGTTCCACAAATGCTACGCTAACTGTGTTCCTTCGGTGAAATATAAACTTTGGTTCGTAAGGCCCCGTTAAGGACGCTGAGGAAATTATTCGGGATTCGGAAGTGAAACGCAGCCGAGACTTCCGGCTACTGCGCACCGCCGTTACTACCGAGTCAGTATCTGTCAATGGAATGGCTCGGAACCCTCGGCGCAATGGCAGATTCTGTTCAATCTTTCCAACCGGCGTCTAACCGGGCAGAGTTGCTCTGGATGCCTGAACAAGCGACTTCAATTTTTCGAAGCTCCCGCTTGCTTAGTAACGATATTGCCTATCGAGAAGCACAATCCAATAGGCTAAGTAGATCCAGGGTATAACGAAGAATTATGGCTTCCAACTTCAACAGTAGGTTAGGGTTCCACACCGCCTGTGGCCAAAGACAATTATTACCCGTGGCCCAGCGACGGGTGTTTCGCTTTCTCTAAAGTGATACTCTTCTAGAGTGAGCTGCAAATTTCCAGTGTAGACACAAGAACGAGCCTACCTCTAATGTACTGCGGTTAGCCGGGGCAGAATAGTATACATTAGTGCTGCATTAGTAGCCGTGCCATTCGATCCGCCCACATCATGAACTCCACCGCCCCGTATGCGATCTCTGCGACGGATCGAACCAGCCTGATCGTTAGTCGAGACTCTTTTTATGTCTTGGATAATCCTAGTGGGCTTGATTCGACTATATATGCGCCTCACGATCAATGGACCGGTGCAGATTGATAATGTGGTGGTGCTTGCCGGAAGTGTAAGTATACCTACCTCGCCGTTCTTCCTCAGCACCCCTTTATTTGAGAAAGGTAAATTACTCTGATAATTTTTGGGTTCAAGAGACGGCATGATGATCTTTTGTGCTCATATAGACTGAGTCCAAGTGCGAGGAATGATTGTCGATCTTGGAGACTAAACTGATCATGATCTCCCTGCGCGTGCGGGACCCAAGATTTAGTCAGAAAATTCTTGGGTCCCGTTGAGCCGGAACCCGCGAACGGGTCTCTGTTCGGCATTCGTCCATCTCCTGATTAGGTCATGGATTACGATTTCAGAGTATTGCGATTTGCAAGTCAATTTAGGGTGAGGTTAACAGATAATAGTCCTATCACTAGTGGTAGGCAGAGAATGCATTGTCTTCGATAGAAAGATGCTCTTCAGAATAAAAGAAGAATTATTAATAACGGGTACAAGAGAAGAGAGAAACAGAAAGAATATGTATAGCCACGCAAAAAACTCTATTAAGCAGTGTCTGGCCAAGGAAGCGCCAGTTCACCGCTTAACAGGCTCTGGGGGAGTGGCCGAAACAGACAGTTGGGTCAACCTCTGCCCGCCCCTCAGTACGAATTCCACACCCTAATATAATCAACCTCCATCTGAACAGCCTCGCCATCCAGAGTAGTGGCATTGGGTTGACCAGGCCAATTCCCACCCACGGCAACGTTAAGCAGCAAGAAGTGGCCCTTGTGTGCAATTGCCTCCCACGTAGCCGAATCATTGAATCTGGACCCTGATATCTCAAAGGTTTTCTTTCCATCAAGATACCATGATAATGTTTCCTTTTTCCACGTGTTTTTCCCCATATGTTTTCCAGCAGCCGTACGTCGGTCAACCTGAAAGCCAACAGTATGCCAGTCACAGCCCGTCCATGCCACACCACCATTTCCAATCCCATTATATTCGTTGCAGGGCCCTCCTGGTGCATACCCACAATGAAGTGTACTATACACCGTTGGCAAGCCGTTCACAACTTCCAAGATATCCCACTCCGACACATTAGGCCAACCAGAATAGCTTGGCCTAAAGTCAGTTCCTAGAGCCCAGAATGCAGGCCAGATCCCTCGTTGTCTATCACTGGGAGCACAGCCCGTTCTCAGCCTGCTCTCAATATAGAGTTTACCGCCTGCTGGAGCTGCAAAATCTGAGCGTCGAGTTTCAATTCGCGCAGACGTCCATGTACCGTTGGATGACAAACGTGGTGTGATTGCAAGAGTACCGAAAGGAGTGACATGTATATTTGCAGGGGAGTTTGTGTATATCTCAGCCTCATTATTTCCCCAATTTTGGGGAGCGTCAACAGTTGGGTACCTGGTTCCTAGGTCAAAGACCCACTTCTCAGACGAGGGCAAGCTGTATGGATGATATTCGAATTCATCGTGCCAGGTCAACTGATAATTGACAAGTTTAAGTGATATTGCAAGGCTAGGCAACAGAGGGCTGCGTTCCTCAACTGCATGGTGATGGCGATGAGAGAACCCCTTTCGGGCTGCTGTGGCACCGAGAAATAAATAGAAGACACTAATGAACGGCAACATGTTTCAAAAGAGTGACAAGATAAGGAGTGACGAATGGTTTTGATAAAAGAAAAGACAACTGTAAGGCAGGCTGAAGAGGCGATGGAGCAGTCTAGAAAGCGGCTGGGTCACGCCCTAATATATATCTGAGGTAGTTAAAAAAATTCCATCGTGCTCATTGAATAAATGAGCATTTCGAAAGAAGATCTGATCTTCATATTGAAACTCCGGAATCCTTGCAATTTTGCTGGCACCACATGTTGGTCTAATTAGCCTGATTTAAACTTTCTCTATCATTTAGGTGCATGTCTGGGGAGGTAAATTTTGGTTGACACTGTCAGATGGTGGTTTTGATTAAGTGACACAATGTAAGCCTATATATAGAACATAGTCAAACCAATACAGTGCAGGCGTATCAGTACCCAGCTCCAACAAGAACAACTATCTCGGAATACGAAAGTTTGGGGTGGGGGAGAAACGAATTTAGGTTCTCCCCTGAATTTCCGCTTTTTGACTGTTCAGAAACTGGGAGTGGTCAGTATGAGAAAGGAGAAATATTCTTGCAACCCCACTAAGAAAGCTGGGGCTCTTTATTGGACTGATGCACGGAGTATCCAGGTCCCAATTTACACTCCAATCGAAAGGGAATGATAACTGAGAGCAGTTGTTCAGGCACGTTCTCTCCCGGCATGTGACGGAAGTCAATTGGAAATTTCAAACTTTAAGACTGAGTTAAACCATTTCCGGTCGTAAAGGCGATCCGATGGAGGAACCCGCGCGTTAATGGTGAAAAAATACTTTCCTCTCCCTACGATTTTATAATTTAATTGCGGCCAGATCGGACGATTTTGGGAGCGGTGGCTGACTCGAATTGGATAATGGTATGCTTGGCGGGGTTGAAAATTGCTAAGTGGCGCTGTCAATACCCAAGACCGCCACACGACAGGGAATATGGCATCCGATAAAATTATTACCATTGTAGCTGTATTTATTTGTAATTCTTATACTGTACCGTTGAGCTGGAACTCTAACTATTCTCATTGGTGACTTGAGGAGTAACTCTGCAGTTTGGAAGCCAGATTCATAGAAATTGTCCTGTTCCTTGTGTGATACGACGAATTCCGGACCGCAATTTCTAGATGCCAATCCGGCCCCTGGCCCGAGTACTTGGTGCTAGGGGGAAACACGTACACGGTAGAAAGAGGGAAACAGCTCGTTTGGAAAATTAAGCTTTTGATGAATTACAGCGCTGCGGCCCGAGCGGCCGGCGCATCCTTGGCCTGTCGCGTCCTTTCTACACTGTAAACTCTCAGCACTCTCAACTCTGGCTGCCGCCCAAGTATACCCGCACTGCCCTCCGTGCTATTGGCCGCTACTCCTTCAGAGATAAATGGAGTTTCTCGGCGCCGTTTTCGTTCCGTCTCTTTTTTCTCCTTTGCCTTTTCCTTCCCACAGGTCGCTCGCTACACTCGAAGCATTTCTGCTGGTGCCTTTAAGTTTTTCGTTCCACTTTGGCCGTTCTTTGACAACTGTGGACAATATTCAGGCTTATACTACCGCTGCGTTTCGGAATAGGCCGGGACAATGACAAAATGACAGATAATGTTCCTCTTAATCTGGCAATGAAAGTTAAGTAATTTGGACAGATACTCCTAAGACCACCATCTAGCTCTCATCTATGCATCAGGTCAGGCCGCCACTTAGAGCTAAGCTCGGCATATTCAACGAATAGCTGCGTGCTTCTATCTACAAGTTGTCAGCGAGTACGTCTAGTATGCGACCGCCAACCCAGCGTTCGCCGCGGACCGATCCACAACCCCTCTTTCTCACCGCGTGGAAAGGCTTGCCAAAGCTTGGCATCATCAATTTTATTCCGAAAGCGACTCAGCCAGATGCAATTGCCATTCGAGGATACCCGGAGACTGCGTGGGAAAAACAAAAGGGTACCAAAGGTTGGAAGTGTACAGTGACACCTCGTAAGTTCTAACAACACCCCGGCCCCATCAAAATATCTCCAATTTTCAATGCCCTTTTCTCTTGAATGAACTCGAAGAACGTTACCGGCGGATGGAACTCGCCACGTTCTGCGAGCTGTTCGCCCAGCTTCGCGAAACCACTGGCGAGCGCTGCGGCAGTGCGCGCGAATTCGTTGATCATGTACGGTTGCTGGTACATCGATAGAATGCCATCGCGCCCGGATCGATTGGCGATCGAGCACACATCGCGATCTTGCTGACACAGATCGGACCGGAATATGTCCTGATTGTGGATGCCATTCAGAATGACAAGGATCCGGTGAGTCCGACCGCGATCGGAAACCGTCTGTCTAATGCCGAACAGACGGTTCGGAGGAAAGAGTCTCTAACACCCTTGCAGGCAGCGTCTGGCCCGTACGTCCATACGGTGCAGCAGACTGCCAAGAAATGCCGCCATGTGGCCGCGCAGTGCTGGAAGAAACAGCGAGAAGTACAGCCGTCCAGGGACCATGCCCTGAAGGCTGAACGGAGTGTTTCCGGCTCGCCAAGAAACAATTTACAAAATATACCATCAAGCCAGATGGGAGATCGGCAGGGCCCGCCGACTTCATGAGACCGAGGATCAGTATCGTGAGGGCGAGGGTGACGACCCTTTATACCCACGCACCGCAACCCCGGTGGATCCTGGACTCGGCCGCCACCAGCCACATCTGCTGGGACCGGGGCTGCTTCAGTAGTCTGCGGCCCTACCGCGAGATGCTGGACACGGCGGGCGATCCAGTGGAGCCGAAGGGATTGGTACGGTGAAGCTCACGCCGCGGGGGAAGTGCAACCAACCCCTGGTGTTAAAGAATGTGTACTTCGCGCCACGCGTCGGGATGAACCTGATCAGCGTGCCGAAGCTGTTGCGAGGCCGCTACTCGGTGGTGGCGCACCCGCAGAACGTCTTTGTGCAACGCCGAGGACGGACGGTGGGGACCGCTTACCACGCGGAGGAGGATCTCCTGATCCTGTGGTGCCATGTGAGCAAAAGGTCTCGAGAGCGAGTCCAACTGGCGAGGGCGCCGACGACCCGTGACCATGCAGATTCCCTGGAACCGCAGGCGGTGGTCATGGACGTCAACGAGTCTTGGGAGTTAAGTGACGCAGAATGCGCAACGTCAACCTCTGAACTCGGTAGTGAAGCTGTGATACTCGAAGAAGATGCGTGCAAAGGAGTGGACCAGGCCTCCGAAGCGTTGTGGCACGCTCGGATGGGACATCTGAACCGGGGAGACTTGAGGGTGGTCCTCCGGCAGACCGGCACCCCGTACCGCCCGCTGACCCAGGCGCAGCTGCTGGAACGCCGCAGTGCCCGGCGTGCATGTCGGGTAAGCAGCATCAGAAGAGGAACTCCCTGCAAGGCGGCCACGTCTGCACTCATCGAGAATGTTTGAAACGATCCATTCGGACATTATGGAAATGCCGATTGCCAAAGATGGCTCCAGGTACGTGATCACTTTTACTGACGATTATTCTCGTGGCTCGTGGGCATATATATGCCATGAGATGGAAGCATGAAGCGCTCCAGAAGTTCCGCCAATTTGAGGCCTGGGTGCATGAAGGCGCTGAGGTGGAGGGCGTAAGACGCGATGGAGCGCGTCGGCCCCTTGGTCTTATCTGACTCGGCGGGGATAGGTTACTCGCCACAACAGTTTTCGAGGTTGGTGATGGGCTGCTCCTACAACGGCATGAAGATGTCAGTGGTTTTTGTGTTTGTGACACCAGACTTGGCACAGATTATCGGACCCGGCGCAGCAGGAGGCGTGACATTGCACTCACCTCATCGTGCACAACGAACGTCTGGGGCTTATGCATCCTGCTGTTGGCCCGCGGCCTTGGTCTGCAGTATTTCACATAGGACATGTTGCATGGTTTGAAGCGACAGGGCCAGAAATGGTGTGTAAGCCATGACTCTGCGTGGAGCACTGACGGAGTGCTGGTTCGGGCTCACTTTGGTGCGCTGTCAACGGTTTCCTGTCCATCATTAGCTTTTTGTCGGCGAGACAATGAGTGACTTACCTGTTCTGAAAGAAGACACCGGAAAGGGTTCGTGGCTTTGCGCGCAATGGACGGAACTCATGGATAGTTCTTTCGCATCGTCTTTGAAGTCAGTCCAGTTTCGGAAGGGTCGCGTTGAAATCTACATACCTGTGCAAAAACCTCTTTTGCATCGATATATTCAGGGGCGGGACAGTGGTCGGCTGCTATGGTGGACAGATGTTCGCATAGCTGCTTTGACCAGCTAACCCCAATCTGCTTTTTGATCGGCTGGCATGGGTGGCATAGTGGACCTGGTGGGAATCTCATTCTCACAAGCACTTTCTAGCTTGTCGGCCCACGATGTATCCATAGATGTCAGTACAGTGGAAATTTCAGTAGGGTTGAAGGGAAGAACTTATCAGTTTCCTCACACGCAAGGCCTGCTCGACTTTGCGTGGCCAAGTGATGGAATTGTAAAACAAACCTCGTGGGGAGAGGACGTATTTATAGGCTTCTCAGCTCCTGTCGCGTACGTGCTCTGCTAGGTGGCAAACGTTGAAAGACACAATGCCTATCCTAAGTGAGGCCTGTTGTAACATATACCGCAACTATTTGCAGCAAATTTCTTGGTTTGGCTTTAGATGCTCACCGAGAAAACATGCTAGAGTCAAGTAGAGAGTGAGTCAAAGTGAGTCGGTTAAGAAACGTTGGGTCACTGTTGAATCTACGGTCATAATATTGAGGCAACGGAAGCTGTTCATTCTTTGATCTTACCAAGAGCGCTCACAATTTTCATCTAAAAAACATGGAAATTTTCTGGCCTCGCTCGAGTGTTGATTGTCTGCGCTGTGTGTGGTTCTGTCCCTCTAGGCTGCGGAAAGCGTCAGTACTCAACCCGTCAACCCGTTGAAGCTTGGCCGTCCTTGTTGACGGGAGTCAACTTTTGAACTCGTGATCATGGTTAAGATAGATACCTTGTTTTTTCGATTTTCTTTTTCGGTCCTCTAGATTGTACTCTATATACTTTTGGGATTTCTGAGCTCTCAACCGAATGTGGAAAATGCGTTGTGATTGAATATATATCTCCCGGTCCGTTCATCACCAGAAGCCACTAATATGAGGCACATTCACCAACCATCAACACCACGAGATTCACACCAGCACCATCATTGAACGGACTGCTAACAGAGCCCCGAAAAATCTTTGGGTTCTAGGCAAAGTCAGACTGTGTTGATTGACTTTCATGGTGAAAGTGAGAATGAGTTACCACCTACGTCTGCTAGTCTATAAAATCCTCTAAGAGTTGTTGGGCATGCTATTGCCCAGACACTCGACTTTTCCCTACGATCAAGATGGATGCCCCTAACAGCACGCCAGACCAGGAAGCAGAAGGAGAACAACAGTCTAGTGCGTTGCCAATCGTTTGTGAAAAAGACAATTCGCAGGAAACTTCCGATGATGCACCAATGGTAAGTGGAAAGACTCAGCTTCGAATGCTCTTGCTGACCATTACAGCCCTCTACATCGGAACAGGAAGCAGAAACAAGACATTCCTTGGCGACCGAGCCCTTTCAACCTATTCTGAAGGTGCTAGCAGACCTCGAACGCAACGATCCCAAGTCCGCCTTTCCCGCGGCTCGTCTTGTCGGACTCTATCGACGCCTATGGGAGTCGTGCGTGTCCAAACACATTGATGGCCAGAAGCTAGAGCAGAGCAATCGTATCTTGAAGGAGGCTAGCAGACACCTGACTAAAGAGAGGGACGGACTTCAGCTGCGCCACAACAAGCAGCTGTCTCGGCTGCGCTTCTTTGAGCAGGCACTGGAATCATCTCGGGGTCGACTGACTTGCGTACTTGATTATTGGAACCACCCTTGCAGACTCAATCTACCAGGGTTCTTGGACAACGCAAGAGAAGGGTGAAGGGTTGCATATTCATGATTGTCCTAGGTCTTAGTTTTCCAACTTGGCAATAATGTGACAACATTTTAATTGAGAGAGAATTACCGCATGGAAAGTAGCTTACATCTGGAATAGCATAGCCTTCGTGGAATGTTCTGCGAATAATCCCGCATGTTCTAGTGTCACGTTTATTAACCAAGTACATTATAAACAAAAAAACTATTGATCCAGTGACAATGTGGGCAGTGTAGCTAGCGGAGAAAGCGTCGATTAACTCGGCCGTCCCGTATTGTATCACGACAGCTACCCGAAGTAGATGTCGCCAGCTCTTACAGACCACCAAACCTTCTCCTCGGAGACCGCTTCAGCAATCTTTGCGGAGTGTTGGCGTCTTCCATTCTGCTTCGAATGGCCCTCTGGATGCAATCGTCCCTTGTTAGATCCAGGGATTTTGTCAAACTGAAGTATTTCAGTCTGGGATTGACCACAAGTGCATCAACAATCGAGGAATGCCCGCCCTTGACCGCCAACATCAATGGATCCTCAGAACATTGGTTCCTGAGGTTCACATCAATTCGATCATAGCGTAGCAGTGCCTGTACTATCTCCAGGTCACCGCCACGGGCAGCCATGCAGAGAGCAGTGTCGTGAGTTGCGATCGTGCTTTCATTGATGTTCAGACGTGTGTCTTGTTGCACTAAAAGTCGTACCAAATCGAGATGGCCATGTGCAACTGCTCGACAAATAGGCGGATCTATTAAATCCATTCCATTAATCTCCACGCCCTCCATACTCAGTAGACAATCAACCATGTTCACGCGCCCGTGATATGCGGCCACGGAGATTGGAGAGTGGCCTCCAACACAGACATTCAGACTGATCCCTGGTACCGCAAGCAGCTGTCGTAGGAGCACGGTATCCAACCTGGCCGCGGCGTTGTGGAGAGATGTAGACAGCGTCTCGAATCTCCCGCGGCATCCAACAAAATAGACGTTGATGTCTTTCTCGGCCAACAGCCTTTCGGCTATCTCGTCGCATGACGAGTAAGTAGACAGCCAAAGTGGCGTATTGCCATCTTTGTCTTTACAGTTCACGTTGGCACGGGGGTGACTTAGGAGCAAATTGACCATTTCCAAGCGTTTGTTTTGAACGGCGAGATGGAGCGCCGTAGAGCCTTTTCGGTTCTGGATGTCCAAATCCAGATTTTTTTGCCTGAGAAGTCTTTTGACAGCCTCTACTGACCCATAGGCCACTGCTTGGTGAAGAGGTAGCTCAGCCTCTTGTGATGATTTGGTACCAAGAAACACCTCGGCCATCGGATCGTTTGAAAAATCATTTCCATCACGGGTCTATTGAAGCGACATGCCCAGTCCCATGGCGAGTGGCCCGAATCGTCCTGTAGATCAGGGTCGCTGCCACTAGAAAGTAGCAGATGCATGAACTCTATTCTGCCTGCGAAGACTGCTAGGTGGAGCGCCGTTCGGCCGTGTTTGTGCTTGACGTCCACCTGGACGTTGGGTTGATTTAAGACACTTTTGACGGCGGAAAAGGTTCCGTAGTGGATAGCATACCACAGGGCGCTCTCCCGCGCTTGATTTTGAATGTTGATGTGTAGGTCTCCACGACTGAGCAAGAGGTCCCGCACAGCAGCGGAAGAGTATTTGAGCGCCCTCATGAAAGGAGTTTTGCCTCGGTAAAATGCATTGATGTTGGCGTTGTGCTGGAGCAAAGCCTCCGCAAGACCAACGTTGTCGTATTTGACGGCCAGGTGCAACAGATTGCTGTTCTGAAATTTGATATTGTATTTCCAGATGCTGGGCTGCAGTCTGAAATCAAGGTCTTTGCATGGTTTTGCGAGGGCAAATAATGCACTACCGTCCAAATACGACACAATCCACAGCAAAAGCTCGTTGGGCAGGTCTCTGATGTTTGGCTGTAACGTATTAGCTCATCGGTAAACTCCGTAAGAACGAATTGAACAGACCATGATTGGACAGCGGATGGAGCAAACGAAATGTAGATAGGGGTGAGGTGAGAGATATGAGAGTAGGATATGGGAGGCCTTTATATACTCACCTCAGCCAAATTCGTGGTCAGCTAGGAGTCTAGTCTGTCACTTGGCTGAAAGGTGCGTAGCAATCACACGGCAGCATCATAGCCTTGACAACAATGTTCAGGCGCGGAGT